ATAAAATACTATTATATAATAAGATCTTAAAATAAAAAATTGATTTATAAAACATTATTGTGTAATAAATTTTTTTCATATTAAATAATATCATTTTTGATCTTTTTATAAATATATTAAATAAAGATTAGATCAATAAAATTATACTAATTAAATAATAACAAATTTTTTAAAAAGAATAATAATAACTAGAATAATAATAAATCATTTAAAATAAATAATATAAAATTGTTTAAATATCTCTATCTATAATATAATTTAATTAGTTAATTTAAATTTATCAAATAAGGTTACAAATCTAACTTGATTTGATATTAATCTGAAAATTTATTAACTGACTTGAATTTATAGATCAGATAATAGAGCAATCTGACTTGATTTAAAGTTTTGATATTAATATATTTCATAATATAGAAATATTATAATTAGATTATATCAGTGTTGTAAATTAAAAAATTTATTAGATATATTATGTAGTAAATAAAGATAGCATTTCAATTAGTTGCAACAGGTGACAAATAAGCATTACAATATTGCAACAAATTGTAATATTATTAAAATTTAAGTTGCAACAGATGATAAATAAGCATCATAATATTACAACGCTATCTTTAGTAGTAAATTATCTATAATAGTTAATATAATATTAAAGATAACATTATAACTAATTACAATCAAAATAAATAAGTATCACAATTAAGTTGTAACTAGTTGCAATTAAAATAAATAAATATCACATAGTTATAACTAGTTATAATGTTATCTTTATATAATATAAAAAGATTTACAAAATTAAAAAGCAAATAATAATAATCAACCTAAACTGATATAATATTAAACAAATTAATTAATAAAAAAAAGTGATATTATTATTAATTAAAATTATATATGTAATAAGCTTAAATTAAAAATATCAAAAAAATTAAAAAAGAAAATTAAAAAGAGAAATGAAGTAGTAATATAATAATAATATAATAATAATTTAAACATTATAAAATAATTAGTCCAGAGTATAACAAAGGATTATATACTTTTACAAATATTTGGATATCTATTTACTCAATAATTAAGTTAATGCTGATTGATTCTTGCAATATTTTTTAATTAAGATTATTTCAGACTTAACAATATTTCTAGTTCTCTAGTATATTTAATTATAATTATAAAACTATTATATAATAATTAGGTAATTATTACTTTAATTATAATATAAATATTACATAATTATTATATATTTTTTTTTGTAATAGATTAGTAATTAATATAGAAATTTTATTAAATAATCAAAATTTTCAATTATGTAAATAACTATTATTAAAATTAATAAAATTTTTTAAATAATTTAATAAGAAGAATTCAATAGAATTTGAGTATTTTTAATGATAAGAAATTAATTAAGTTAGCTATGTGTAATGAAATTACTTAATTTAATTAATTAATTTTTAAGAAAATAGAGAAGTATTCTTTTTATTTTATTTGAGTATCAGTTTATCTATAATAAAATTGTTATTATAGATAAATCTACTTATTTAGAAGTTTTATTTATTTATCTTTTATTTTGAAAATATTTAAAAAAGTCACTTCTTTAATTTAAGAGTCATTTTTTATTAATAATAAAGTAATTTTATGACAAATAAATTTTTGAAATATTTTATTTATTTATCCTTATTTATTGATAATAAAGTAATTTTAAATAAATAAACCTTTGAGATATTTTATTATTTATTTTTAATTTATAAAATATTTTATATATTATTTAAGCATAAATTTATTTTTATTAATTCATTTAATTAATAAAAGCTTTAAACTTTTTGGCTTAAAATTTAATTATAAATAAGCAATTTGAATTATTTTAGTGTATTATAATCTAAATTTAAATTGATTATACTAATATAATATAATTATATTATATTGATACAATTAGCTTTATAATTTTAAATTTTAATTTAATGTATTTAAAAGGTTTATTATTAAAATCATATTACAGATCATATAATATATTATATTTATAATTTAATTTTAATAGCAAATATTTCTTTAAGAAAATTTATGATATTTTATAAATTATTAGAAAATTAATTTTTTTTTAATTTAATTATTAAAGATCTATTGATTTTATAATAAAATCAGAATTATTTTAAATTAATATAACTTTTTAAATATTTAATTTAATTATAATTAAAAAGCTTTAATATTATTTAATATTTTTATTAAATAAGATTTAAGTTTATTTTTTGTGTTTTTTTTTTTTTATAGTTTTTTATAAAAAATAAAAATATATTAAAAATAATATTTGAAAAATTTAAAATCATTTAAATAATTTATTTATATATTAAATGTAATTCTTTTAGAAAGAAATTTAAATACTCTTTTATAGTTTATTAATAGAACTTCAAGTGAGATAGTAATAATATTGGTATTTTTAAATTCTTAACTTCTGTAAAATACATACTTATTTTAGTACAAAATGAAAAAGTAATAATATATACTTTTTGCATTAAGTTTAATTAAAGCAAATTTTTGAAATTTAAAATTTTAAAAAGATTGAATTTGTAAAGATTAATATAAATTATTACTATATGAAATTTCTTTTATAATTTGCTAATTTGAATAGTTATATATTGTATCTAGCATTTATAAAGATGATAGAATTTAAAATTACATTAAAATTATTATAAAACTTATTAAAATCTGTAGAAAATGTAAAATTACAAAACATAACCTATAAATTATAGAAATTGTTAATTGATTACATTACTTAATTTTTGAAATATAATTAAAATATAACAAATCTATTTATAAAATTAATCGATAATGATCAATTATCTTTTACATGCAGCATTAATTCACAATAGACTATAAAGCATATATGCTAAAGGAAGAGAAAAATTAAAAAACAGTAAAGTATTATAAAAATTAGAACAATTAAATTTTTTTGTATAACTTAAATATAAAAGTGAATTAATAATAACGAAAAGGGAAACATCTATAATTTATTCAATGTGAATTATATCAGATCTTAAAATTAGATACTGTATTTTATCGAAAATAAGCACATCCTAAAAATAAACATAACTATATTTATCCAGAACCCAAAAATAAGCATATTTGTAAATTTTATTGTAAAAATTTAACTAGATATATTATAAATGCGAAATAATTTTATAAAAAATAAGCTATTATAATTTGTTAAAATTATTATTGTTAAAAACTTTTATTATTAGTTTCATTTATTACTAATTCCTCAACCTCTGATTCTACTATATTGATTTCTAATTCTATTTTTTTATTGATTTCTGATCTATTATTCTCAATTTCTGATTCCTCCTTATCTACATTAGAATTTACTGGTGAATCTGTTATATAATACTTCTTAAAAGATTCAATAATAATTTCATCAGAAATTTTCTCTTATGATCGCTTAACCTAACCATATACATTGCTTATTTTAGTACACCAAAGGTTTCTATTAGCAGTATTTCTAGCACTACCACTTGCCATTTATAGATGCCATTCTTTTCAGAGATTATCCTTAAATGCTTGTTGATTGCAATATCGAGAGGTTGACAAATACTTATTAATCCACTAAAAATTATTGCTAAATAAACGTTACTTTCGCGAAACTTATTTTTGACTGATTCTTCCAGGTGGCTTTTGATTGAGTCATATACTAGCATTGTTAGATCTCAAATTTATTATTATTAAAGTATCAATGTAATCCTTTATCAAGTTAACATTTATCCATCCATTTTTCTGGAACTAAACTATTATATCAGAAGGAATTTTTTCTTCTTCATCGCGTGCCAATCTCTTTCCTTTAAATATGCAAATAGGAGATAATTTTGTCCCATTTTATTAAGTAGATTTAAATTTAATAAAATTAAAAACTATAAAATTTGCAGAAACTACTAAAATATATAAACAAAGATAAAATTTTAAAAATTTACTAGCAACGCATGTAAGAACAACTGTAAATTGATTTTTTTCATTTTTAGTTCTATGAACATGTACCATTTTTCACTTCTTTGATTTACTGTAAAATTATCTGCCATATTGAACCAAACAGGCGTTTCATCCATATTATAAATATCACACATTTCAAAAGACTTTTTTATTCTAAGTTGGATGACAAATCTATTAAAACTCTCTAGCAATTCTTTAGTATGTTCTGGGAGTTTCTGAGATATTTTCGTGTGTTGACATAATACCAGTCCATACCTTTTCAAAAATTTACATAACCAGCTAAGTAATGCTTTTAAATTATTTATTGAATTATAAATGGTTGATTCACTTAAAATTTCCTTCATTTTATTTTGTATCATTAAGTAATTTACAGCCAATCCTTGCTTCTGTTGTCCAATAATCCAATCATATAAAAGTTTTTTAGCTTTGGGATATAAAGCCTTTCAATCAAAACTAATTTTCTTTTTTTTGCTATTTGTCTTAGTTGTTCAGATCTTGCTTGCTCTAACCTAACGTCTGACTATACTAATATTAAGATTAAAGTGGTTTGCCGCTGCACATCTATCATGTTGTTCTGCATAATTAACAACTTCCTTTTTCTTTTCAATAGAATATGAAGTTCGTCTAACCTTTCTAATAACTCTTTATGTTTTTGTAGCATTTTTTTTTTAACAGGTTTTAACTGAGATGATATAAGATTTGGCGCAGCTTTATATAAATCACGTGAATTACCCGAAAATAAGCATCTCTATAATAAAAAGGTGTGCTTATTTTCGGTAAAATACGGTATTTCTAGAGCAGATCATATCGGAGATTTTCACGGTAAGTAATGCATGATTGGTTAGGATTTGTCACGCGAGTGATGTAAAATTATCGGCGATTACCCGATATAATTAGGCCCCCTAATTCATTTTTATTTTCAGTTAAAACGATTTCGAAGTGATGATATACTACTGTAAAATTTAAATGGAATATTGAAGAAATTGAAAATGAAAATGATATAATTTCTCGAGAAATTTTAGGAGTTCAAAAATTTAATGCAAACTATCTATGATACATCACAAACTAATAAAACTAGGTAAATCAATGATATTTAATTATTACAAAGTTTATAATTTAAATTTAAATTTTTTTTTTATTTAATCAACCCAATACGTTCATTTTCAACATTTTTAAAGAAAATACATTTAATAATTGTTCTTTTATATTAATATAAATAATATTAACGATAATAGTTTAATTAAGTATAAATATAATAATCAAATTAACATATTTGCTAAATTATTAAACTTTTTTTTTTTTTTTTAATTATTTTCATATAAGTAATAGCCTATATTGTAATATCATGGTCGAATCTTAAATAAACTCACCGTGAGATATACGGCCGTGTAATTATAAGTTGATAGATATATCCTATATTACGACAAAAATATTTCTATCAAAATTTTATTTTTCCGCTAATTTTTACAAAAATAAATCCTTATTCAAAAAAAGAAACGTTGAACATTCTATAAATAAGTATTTTTTTTTAATTTTTATTTTATAATATATTTTTTTTTGATTAAAATGAAATTTGATATAAATAAATACACTTTTGATCTTGTCTTTGTTTTCAGGTTCTTTGTAATAAAACAAATTAAGCATCCAAAATAAATTCAAGAAGCGTTAAAATCGCACATGCGACTGAAAGTTTCACTCGATCAACACGTAAACTGGTGTCACCAAAAGAGGAGAGGTTTTTTGACTACTTTTTTTGGAAAGATATAACGGGAAATCAATTTTTAATTGTTTATCCCTCATATTAAAGTTTCCGCAGTTTTAGGGGTAGCGTTAAAGAAATTCATTTTGGAAATCAGAATGAGAGTCAGGTAAGTGATGTGCCGTATAAGTAAAATATATCTAACCATTATTGAACCGACATCACATTAGTTCCTGATTTATGGATCAATTTCTTATGATTACTATGAAAGTATGGAAAGGTTTGACCAATTGAATCGATAAAGGAGACTGATTACGTGTTGCAAATTCTTATGTTTAATTACATAATTATCAAGATAATGACAAAACATGAGGAGTAAATGGATTAACTTCCAGGTTCATGAGGTTATGCTTTGCCCATCCTGTAAACTGTGTTCGTGTATAATTTCCAAAGGAAATTATGCAAAAATTTGACAGCGGCAACCAAAATTCATGACGAATTAGGTTCATACTTTCGAATTCGTTGAATTAGAGTCAGGGCAAAGTTGGGTTGCTGGGTTAGATTAAAATGAGGTTTGGGTAAAGTTGTTGCATCGAGGTATCTTGTCGGGAAGGATCTGGTTTACTATTGGGATTTTGGAGTCTAATCATTCTTATATGCGCAGTCATACATTATTTATAAAAATTTACGCGCAAATTTTAATGAATTGCTAAAGATCATAAAATTTATTTTAAATTATCATAACAAAACAGCTTTGAAGATAGCAACAAAGATGATCTTAATTTTTGATTTGAGAAGAATTCCTTCCCGAATGCCTAAACGATTATAATAATCATATTCATCATATTAATGTAAAAATCTTCATATTTATTGCAATTACGGGTCACGCGCGTTAAAAAATTTTATAGATAAATTCTTGAATCATATGTTTCGACAAAAAAGGGGGGTCAATTCTCAATTTAACGCTTACATTTTCTTGTGGCTTTTTTTTAAGAAAAAATCTTTGAAAATCTTTTCATTCCCACATTTTCCATGCTTTTCCTCATTGAGGTTTCAGTATTTTCAGGGATTTTCTTTATCTGGTGAATTTTTAATTCATGTGTTTATTTGAAGATCGATTGCAGATTTAAAGAAAGGAGTATGAAACAATAAAATTGATCGTCTTCGATTTTAAATCATGATGGTACCCTTATTTTGTTGGCTAAATCACTAAACTTGCGGAAAACGTTATATTTAAAGAAATAGATCCGTCCGAAAGAAACATCAACACATGAAAAAAGACCTAGAGGTAAGTGGTTTATAAAATAATTTAATTTAGATTATCTTGAAATCGCTATTGTATTTTTGTTTTAAAAGCTCAAAGGTTTAATATTGAAAATTAAAAGATTTACTAAATCGACTGTATATACATATATGTTAAAATTATTATAACGGGAAGAAATTATCGGAAATGACGTTTATTCTCCGAGTGGTGTGACTACAATTTAATATTTTAACAATAAAAAAAAATTGTTCTTAATATTTACCGGAAAATTCATTGTTAATTGTTAAACTCGGTAATACACGTGAGAATAAAATCCTAAAAATGCATTCCAGATATGGAAATAATCCGAAATTCGGGCGGCTGTTCTTATTTTATACATCTTTTTAAGGATGTAATCCATCAAAAGAAAAAGGTAAATAAATACTTTATAAATTTTTAAAAAATATTTATTGAGCCTTTTTAAATACCTACAACATAATATTGCCAAAAAAGTGAGATGAAATTCGAAAAACATCTCCAAACCGAAATTGCTCCAGAATGGAGGGTAAAGTAAATATACACGCGTGTTTTCTAATTCTCTTTTTTTTTTTTACAGCAATCGCTATGAATTGTTCTTATTAAGCATTCTTTTACCCTAAATCCTTTAGATATATAGATTATAAAGCCTTGAAAAGGAGTCTCAAGACCGTATATAATGCAAAAATTGCGAGAGAAAAAGAAGAAAAAGAGTTGATGCAAAGTAAATTTAACACCGCAGGCAGTAGCGTGTTTGTAGAAGTTCCTCCGCAATCATATCGAAATTATAAATTTGGAAATTATAATGAAAATGAAATTGACGTTAAGAAATTTCCGAAAAATAAAGAGAAATTATTTCCAGCGAATCACGAGAGGGGATTTTCTGCAAATAATGACAAAAGCAAAAGAAACTCTATTCAATCAAGAACTTTCACTATGAATAGTTTATCCGATAGTGTACATGATTTCTTTCATAAAGTTTCTTCTGCTTTAGTTACGGCACAAAAAAGTAATTCTCATCAGCGTATGTATTATTGATGTAATATACATACATGCTTCTCTATAAATATGATCATTCTCCCGATTGACACCTTCTCTTACGCAGTTTCGACTCCAACTCATATATCATCTTTGGAAACGTTAATGTTCGAGGTTGAACCTGAAGAAAGGTTGTTTTTTAAAGCCGTGGATCAAGAATTGGAAAAGGTTGATCACTTTTATGAAAGTAAGTAATATTTACTATATTATATAGTCTTAATGTGTGTGGCCCCACTTATACCCGTTAAACATTCATTCCCTTTTAGCAAAGGAAAAGGACATGTTAAAACACTTTGACTTATTGGTACAACAATATGAAATATTAAAAAGCAAGAAACAAAAAAACGTAAGTGTTTACGGAGAGGTGGCTGGCGTGGCGCAGTATTTACTTTGTTTTCGGTATTTGTTAAATTTTTTTATTTGTTAAAAAGGTTCATGCAGATGCCTGGAAAGCATCGAAAAGTATCGTCAAACAAAGCATCGATTATTTCGGTCCAGAAATAATTTCAAGAAGAGGTTCAACAGTGGAGGAGCAATTCGATTATCGAACTGCAAAGAAAAGGATAAAGAATGCAGTATTTGAGTATTATAGAGGCGTTGAATTGTTGAAAAAATTTGCACATTTAAATTACACTGGATTTGCTAAAATATTAAAAAAATATGACAAGGTAAAAAAAAAAAAAAAAATTAGAGAGAAGGAATGTATTTGTTTATTTATTTTAACTTGAATATCAACAACCAATGTATGTATTTAAGATAACTGAACGAAATGGATCCAAAATATATATGCCAAAAGTGGAAAGTTTTCGTTTCGTTAAGTCTAACGTTACAAGCAAGCTTCTTAAAGATGTCGAAGATTTTTATGTGAAACACTTTGAAGATGGCACAAATGCTCAAGCAATTAGAAAGTTGCGAATACCAAATAACAAACATCTGGTAAAGTCACTTATTATTTATTTTAATTTTCTTTCCATATTAAAAATTATTGTTGATTTCCTTTTTTCCTGAAATTACAGACATATTATTCGTCCGTATTACGTGTCGGTCTATGCTTAGGCTTGTCGATACCTTGTTTGATCTATTCGCTGGTTAAAGCACAGAATAAACATTCTTTTGACAAATCTGATAGTGATATGGAAGATGATGAATTCGTGTCCAAGATAGATCTAGAACTTTACGCTGCAATTGCTATACCATTAATACTCCTACTCTTAATAGGTGTTAATATGTATGCATGGATACGATTTCGTATAAATTATAAATTTATCTTCGAATTGAATCCAAGAAATAATTTGGATTACCGTCAATACCTTGAGGTTTTATTTGTTTCAAACTTTATTTCTAATGAGATTCGTTTATAAATTAATATTTTTTTCTTTTCATAACTTTTAAATGTAGCTTCCATCTATAGCTTTTTTGAGCGTGAGTTTTATCATGTTCCTTGGTTACACTATACATCATGAATTCCGGTATCCTATAATCGTGCTCGGTTGTGTTTGCGCTATAATTTTTAATCCCTTTCGCATATTTTATTACAATGCCCGGCGATGGTTTATAATTTCAATGGTAAAATTCCACAAATACTTTTCTTTTTCTGAGAAACAGCATAATATTACGAAAATAAATTATTACGAAAAAAAATTCTTAATTTCGTCTTTATTATTTATGAATAGGTACGTTTATTAGGAAGTGGAATACTGCGTGTAGAATTCAGGGATTTCTTTATTGCTGATGAATTAAATAGTTTAGCTTATTCAATTATCATGTTACAACTTTTTGGATGTCGCAATAGCAAGTATTCTTTTAAATGATCGGTCTTTTTAGTTTAAATTAAATCTTCAATCTAATAATTTAATATAAATTCCCATTCTTAATTAAAGTTAAGGGAGGAGGCAAATTTTGCAATGCAGATACAAACCCATTAACACCAGTCCTTGGTTCACTTCCCGCGTTATTCCGTTTTCTTCAAAGTTGGAAGCGTTATAGAGACACGTTTCAAATAAATCATTTTATAAACATGGGCAAATATCTCTCAACAATTGTTGCTATATGTTTCGCATATCTATACCATCATTACGGTAATTATTAAATAATAATAATAATAATCATATTCATGTTTTGATGAAGTTTTTTTTTAATTTATAATTTTTTTTTTCTTTTAGAATTCGTGGGAACGCAAAGACCTAACCACATTTTCATAATTTTATGGGTGACCTTTCAAGCAATTTCATCTTTTTATACTTACATTTGGGATGTTAAAATGGATTGGAGCCTACTACAACCAAATAGCGTCAATTATTTATTAAGAAATGAATTGGGATTTAAAAACCCAAGGTTATATTATTATGCTATTATCTCAAACTTCATTTTAAGATTTAGTTGGATAATTATTGTGTTTACAATACACAAACATGAATTTAGTTTTATCATTTCTTTTCTCGTCGCTTTTGGTGAAATACTTCGGTAAGGATGGCCTACGTTTGCATGATCTTAATCTTTATTAAATTGTCGTATTGATGTAATACATAAATTAATTTTTTAGTCGATGGCAATGGAATTTTTTCCGTGTCGAATACGAAGTAAGTTAATCTTTTTTTTTTTTTGACATAAATTCAAGAAATAAAAAATTTATTTTATTTTATTTTCTTTATAACAGCATATTAGTAATTGTGAACAATGTCGTGCCATAAAGGATGTTCCGTTACCATTCCCAATACAAACTAAAAATGATAACGATATTATATTAGCACCGGAAATCATTGTCCCAGAAAATAATAATGATAATGGGGTATCGTTCGCATCAATAAAAAATTTATTTAGAAGACGTAAAAACTCTAATGGTTCTAGAAGTTCTAGACATTCGAATCCTGCTTATAATTGGAAGGATTTTGAAGCAAACCGAAATACAATGGATTATATTTATGCTGATGAAATATATGAAGTTAGTGATGAAGGAGATAACGTCTATTTTAGAGAGGAAGATAGTTACGCGAGCAGAAGATTACCTCCTATAAGCGATTATCAATATAAAGGTAAACAAAAATCAACCGAAATATAATATGTATTCTTATGGGTGTGAAGATGAAAAAAGATTTGGGTGAATATTAACATTTTTTTGTTACGGATATTTTAATCCTTTTATAGTAGAATATTCTTAAAAAGAGAACGTTCATTAACTTCAACACAAGTAAATATTTAATTTAATTTAACGTCACTTTTTAGTAATATTATTTTTATTTTACCTTATTAAGATAAAAAAAGAAAAAGAAAAAAAAATCAGAAAAGCAAAAAAATTTATATGGCAGGTACTATTTTTATAATATCTTACTTTATAATAATAATAATAATAATAATAATAAAACAATAAATGGGTTTACTTTGAGCATATTTTGGTATTGAAATTAGTATAATAATATTTCGTCATATCTTCCTTTCTTGAAAAGAAAGTCGAAAATAGGATACATTAATGATAAAATAAAGTAAAATCATCATTTGATAATAACTGTATAAAAACTTTATGTTTGATAATATCTCATGAAGGTAAACGTTTTCAAAATGAATTTGACCAGTATCAAGACCAAGATCAAGTTTAGATCAGCGTTGTAAGGACGAAAGCTTGTTTAAAAAAACACTCTGAACATTATTAAATTTAAATTTGTGCTTTATTTTTTATGAAATTCTACTGAAGCATGGGTTGTGTTGATAACAAATGTCCATGAGGAAAAGCATGTTATTGATAAATTTCGGGGAGCGAAAATTTAACAATTAAATATTGATCCAAGGTCAAGTTACGAAATAAAAGAACGTACATAACTATATTTCTGTTATTAAACAAAAGGGATGCGTTTTAATTGTATATGATTCTTATAACGAAGCCACGTGTGTAATTGAAAATGCGATGGTAGTAAACTTCTTGACCAAAGAACAATGTGACTTTGCATATATTAAGCCACCCTCTTTGAGCCTTAATACAAACCTTTGTATTGAATTTAAAAAGTCACCTTTAACCATCGTCGTGTAGATCTAAAGGTTCATTTCTTGGATGTTGAAAGTCATCTTAGCTATGTAGGTTTTGAAAGTTCTTTTTTATTCTTAATCATAATAATAATCCTATGTTTGAGAAACATTTAGTGTGACTAATAATATGAGATTTATTGTTGCAGGTTGACATTATTAACAGTTAATATAAATTATTAATTAAATCAATTCCCCAAATAGGCAAGTGTAATTTGACGTCAAAAGACGCGATTTTTTTTTTATAATAACAATAAATAGATCTGTCTTATTCTTTGTTTTTAATTACAGTAGCGACTATTTGTTAAATCAATTGATCTAGATAATCACGTGAAACGTTCGGTTTTAGCTATATAAAGAATTTTTTATATATCTAAGCCACAATAAAAACTAATAAGTAATTTCAGAATTTTCAACGCTTTTTTTTCAATAAATTAACCATGATTGAGAACGCTACATTAATTAAACAAGGAGCCGAAGCTGTAAATATTTTTGTGTTTTCGAATGTTTTATTAAATTAATTACTAAATTAATTTATCCTAAAAAACAGCGAATACATACGGCACCATTTTTGACACGAACTGCCATAGTTAAAGAAAGGTTTTCGAAAGCTTATCGACATCCTATTCTTGATAAGAAGTTAACAACAAGAAGAGTTAACCAGGTTGATAAGGGTTATCTCATAAATATTGTAAAATGATTTACCTTTTCGAATGATGCTTTGATTTTATTGTGTAGGAAGCTCGATGTTTGTTCAAATGTCGTAAATCAGGAGTTGACACACCAGCATTATATTTTGTGGATACGGAAAATAGTACGATTTATATGGAATTTGTCCGAGGAACGATCGTCAAAGATTTACTTGTCACGAATAGTGTATACATTCAAAATAAAGTAAAACAAGGTATTTTAAATTTACAATAAAGAACAATTTTATGATAATCCAACTAAATGTTCTTTCTTTTTTTTTTTTTTAAAAAAAAAAAAAAAGATGAATTGGCCAAAAAGATTGGAATTGCATTGGCAAAAGTGCATGAAATTGATATCATTCATGGAGATTTGACCACTTCCAACTTAATGCTGAGAGAATCCAATCAATCTCTGGTAAATTTTTTTTTTAAAAAAAAGGAAAGGAAAAAGAATTTGTTATGTTAAATTGGACCTTTTAATGATTCCTTGCAGGTGGTTATTGATTTTGGATTGAGTTACATATCATCATTGCCTGAGGATAAAGCTGTTGACTTGTATGTACTTGAAAGAGCTTTTTTGAGCACTCACCCTAATTCTGAAGAAATGGTAAGTTATTTAAAATAAATAATATATATATATGTATATTTAATTTTTCTAAATTTTTTATGTAGTTTACTGAGATTTTAGATGCTTATCGGAAAAATTATAATGCTTCACAAGGAGTGCTGTCTAAATTAGCTGAGGGTAAATAAAATTGGTTTTTTATGTGATGTAACATGATTTATTTATTGAATTCAAAATCATTTTTTACAGTTCGATTACGGGGACGAAAGAGAAGCATGGTTGGATGAATCTACCAGGTTATGAGAGGATACCCTTTTCACACGTGCAGAAGCCACATTTATACTGTAAATGCCAATGTAAACAAATCGTAATTTTATTTTTATAAATAATCATTTTCACGCGTTCATCTTTTGAGCTTTGCTCAAAGCAGCTAGCAACTATTATAACAAAAAAGTACTTAACTCGTATTGATAATGCTCTCGACCTGTGTTTTTCCCATAAGTGATTAAATTATATGTTGAATTATTACTTAATTTCCAATAAAACCATGGCGGTTCATTATTATTTTTGAGATATATATAAAGGCAGATTGAAAAAAAAAAAAAAAAATTTACGATAATAAAAATAATCATAATAATAAAATGTCTCTAAATATCAATCGAATTAATTCTATTCCCTTATTCAAGAATATGCAATGTGGTACTCAAGGAAAAGTTATTCATAGAGCATCGGTGTTTAAGGTATCTCTTTCTTGGCACAATAAATTTCTTTGAAATTCATTTTCTTTTCAAATTCGTTAACTAATATTGATATACGTAGTTAAATATAGAAAGAGCATCTGTGTCAAGTTCTCGTTTATATACCAATAACATGAAAGTGATTCATGGATCACCAGAATATAATCAAATTTTAGGTAAAAGTGAACTTGAAGGAAATGAAAAAAAAATTGAAGGTGAATGTGATATGTCAAGCATGGGAAAAAAATTCGAGAAAGAAAAACGTGATAAAAGGAGAAAAAAGAGAAAAGAACAGGAGAATGTGGAATATGTTGATAGGGGATATTGGAGTGAACCTGTTGGTGTTGAAAAGAGAGAGAGATGAATTAATATAAGAACAATGTGACGAATTTTTTTTACTTTCTTTGGGAATTAATTCATTTAGGTCGAGAAAACAAAAAAAAAATGTATATTATTTATTGTTCTTTAGCTAATTAACATTAATAATAAACATCATTTTACATACATATGATTTACTATATATGTCTCGAGACCCAATTTTAAAAAGTGCTAAAATTTCAATAAATAATTGTTCCAAAATAAATTTTATATATATCATTGTCTTGGTTTCGGGTGGCATGAAATTAATCAAATTACTTCACGCTTTTGCTATTTGATTTCAACTAATGTTAATTTCAAACTGGATTGAAGAAAGAATCTTTACGATCTTATATGCTAATTAATAGCTTTACCAAAAGTGTTGTTTTTTTTAAACCTATAATAATAGTTTATATATTAACAACCAAAAAGTCGTTTTTTATTACTATTGCAAAGACCAAAATGTAAAAATTTAACATGACAAATTAACTCGAAATGTAACATGATTGGCTAAAATAGATATTTGTTCGATCAAATTATATTTTTCGTATCTACTAATTAAGTTTTAATAACCATCCGATTCCGATTTCTTTGCTACCCAACATTGTCAAAATGTAGTGAAAATTGGTTATAGATAACGACATGTAATATTCCTCACATCTTACACCAGTCCGTGACTCGAAGCCAAGACAAGTAATCTTTCCTTCTGCACACGGCTCGATGTCTTGGAGGGGTACAAAGTACTCAAAACTCACAAAATATCATGCAATTGCTTTTGCAAAAGAAATTACCAAGTTTTGGATAAGTTCATCAAGTTCTTCAATATGCCGTAGGAATTACTGTTCTATAACAAGTAAAATACATGTGCGTAGAGACAAAGCGAACGGAAAGTACGTCTTTATCAGGAATGTCACCAGCCTCACGTTCATTTTCATCTCCACAAGCAAGTTGTTCGATATTCATTTCGTTTCTCCGAATTTCAACGTATCGCAAATATTTATCCCGTAAAAAGAAGGATAGTGTCAACAAAAATATATGGACCTGCCGTATAATTTAAATTTACGCGAACAGCTTTTCCTAGTAATCACGAAAATTTTGGGAGAGAGACACTTGTATTTTTCAAATTATTACTCAATTACTCAATGGGCCAATTATTCAACTTGCCAACGCGAAACGCGTCAGTGTATCCGAAAGTGGTTCGACCTTCGAATTTATATCCAGTTTTCCCAGTTCTGATCTAAAACCGGTTTGATTAAGATATAATTAAGGCAATTGCAATAAATGATAAAATAAAACCTATTCGGAAATATAATTTCATAAAAAATTAAATCCGATCGAAGTTAAATAAAAGATTGGTCTGATAAAATTTATAGTTTATTATAATAATAACTGATTGTATTTGCTTAAGTTTGAACGAGTACTCAACAGAAGTGATTCGCTTTTGGATTCATTGAATTTATTAATCGAAAACAAATCTTTATTGCGAGCAAATATATACGAAATCACGTTAATCATTTTTTTTTTTTCGTCCCGAAAAAAAAAGCACGCGATCAATTGTTTCTCACACAATATACGCAATTAAATAAAATAATTAAGCATATTATATAAAAAAAAAAAAAAAAAAAAAAAAAATAAGGAATTCAATGAGTACTCGTGAAAGGAAAATATTATGAAAAAATTTACAAAGTTATATACATACTTTAATGATTTAGTGATGTTATAAAGGATGAACAATAATTTATTTCAAATTTTTCTTAAATGTACATATCTAATTTTTAGCAAAAAAAAAGCGTAACAGAAAATCTTTTTGCTAAAAACATTGTAACTTTCCTACTGTATATGAATCTTTCTAAATGGATTAGGAATATCTTGTGATGATGAAGGAATATCTTGTGATGATGATGGAATATGGAAATGGTGGGAAAGTTAGAGGATAGAAATAAGGAATGATACGATCAAAGTCCTTTTTTCTTAAATATTATAAAAATTCAAGTACCCAAAGTAAGTTGCTATGTATAATACCCTGATTCTTTACATTCTAAGATAGGAAGGGTACAGTCCACGGGTATCCAGTGACTTGAGTTTCTTTTTAAGATAATTAATAAAAAACTAGGTGCAAAAGAATAGGAGAGAGGAATACTATAAAAGAGGAAAACAAAGGCCTAAAATAAGATTTTTAATATTTGCAAAAAAACAAATTTATAAATCAGGAAGAAAATACCAATCTAAATGTAATAATACAAACGTCATTGTTAAAATTAGTTAAATTTCTTGAGTTTATTTTAAGATAACCTTATGGATGATGAAACAACTTTTAAATACTCGGGATTTTGTTAAATCGAGTTAAATAAAATTGTGAAAATTATGATGCTTGTCTAAAGCTACTCCCGACTTTTCCTTCAAAAACCCAACCAATTAAATTCTTGGAAATACTTTCGAATCCGAACATTGGAACAAACCTTCTGAACACATGGAGTAACCTGAAATCCAAGGTAATAAAAAAAAAAAAAGACTATCTACTAACTAAAAGGTTGTTGACATTCTAAATTATCCCAATTGGTTAAAATATCTAGATGTAATGTGGCATTGAAATTTTATTTGTGGTTGATGAAGAAGTTCTTGAATGACAAGGAACGAAAAAAAAAAAAAGGAATTATGATATGAAATTGAGCTTACTTGTCGAATGTATTTAAAAGTGAATCAAATCGCTTATTAATTTATGTACAATAGTGTCGAATACCCAAAATTTATTAATGAGATGATTTGTTATCTCACGCATTTAGCAAATCTTATAAAACAAGAACCGTTTATTCCCTGAAAATTGAAGAATATTAAGCCTTGTAGAGTGAAAATTTAAATGATCAAATTATTATCAACTTACCATTCGATCGTAGCTGGAGGTTTACTAGATATATCATATACGACCCGATTTACACCTGTTGAAAGAAGATATGCGTTAATCAAATGAAACGAACAGGAAAAATGTATATTGTGCTTTTTTTACCTTTAACTTCATTGATGATTCGATTACTGATCTTTTTCAAAATATCATAAGGGAAAGGATACCTAAACATGTAATCAACAAAAGAAAATATCCTTCAATATGATAAAAATTAAAATCATCGTTGTTCAAAGCGCACAAACTTACCAATCCGCTGTCATGAAATCCGTGGTTTCAACAGCTCTTAGAACAATCACTTGCTCGTAGGTTCTTCTATCACCCATAACTCCAACTGCTTTAACCGGCAATAAAGCAGCATAAGCTTGAGATATTTTACGATAAAGTCCTGCTTTCTTTATCTCATCAATATAAATGTGATCCGCCGCTCGAGCTATTGCAACCTGACTAGGTGTAACTTCACCCAATACACGAATTGCAATACCAGGTCCAGGAAATGGATGACGCCAAATCAAATCTTCATCGACCTTCAATACCTTGCCGAGTTCACGTACTTCATCTATAAAAAATTTCGGAAATTTTATTAACCAGTTGAAAACGTAAAAGGATTAAAGATTTTTGTTAATTACCCTTAAATAGTTCCCTTAAAGGTTCGATGAGTTTCAACTTCATATCCTCTAACAATCCACCAACATTCTAAATTTTGTAGAAAATATCAGATTCAATCCTTCCTTAGTGTTAAAAAATAAATACATAAATAAATTATTATAACACACGTGATGAGTTTTTATTGTAGCACTCGGTCCTTTAAACGAAATACTTTCTATAACATCAGGATATAAAGTTCCCTGTAGAAGGTATTCGATTTGTCCGTGTCCGCCCTCTTTCGTTTCTTGATCAATCTTCAATGATTCTGATTCAAACACTTCAATAAACGTGTTTCCAATAATCTTTCGTTTCCTCTCGGGATCAGTAACACCTTTGAGACGATCAAGAAACATATCAGCAGCATCTACAACCTTTAGATTTATTCCAAGGTGATCACCAAGCACTTTCTTGACTGTCTCACACTCATTCAATCTCATGACACCATTATCAACAAGAATAGCGTGAAATCTAACAATGTCCCATCCCAGAAAGGTTTAGAATAATAGATTATCATCTAATTTTTTAAAAGGGAAGCGAATAATAACCAACAAACCTATCACCAATCGCCTCTTTCATCAGTCGTGCGGCGACTGTACTATCAACTCCACCACTTACAGCTCCAACTACTTGCCCATTAGGTCCTACGATTTGACGAATCCGTTCTATCTCTTTATCAATAAATGATTCCTAAACAATAGTTAAAAGGAATTAATAATTAAAAAAGAAATTTTTTTTTTGTTTTTTTTTTTTACATACCATTGTCCAATTCATTTCGCATTCACAAATGTTTTTAACAAAATTCTTTAAAATTTCTTTTCCTAGAGGCGTATGAGTTACCTCTGGATGAAACTGAATACCAAATAAATGTTTCTCTTCATGAGCTATGGCCGCAAATGGCGCGGTCAATGTATGTCCAATCACATTAAAACCTTCGGGAGCTCTATCCAATTGATCCCCATGACTCATCCAAACCTATATTATTCGATGATTCATATGCATGAAAAGGAGTTGAAGTAATAATAGATTTGTAATTAAAAAAGGTTTATTATTTACTTGGATAGGGCCTTCGATGCCGTCAAATAATCTGTTAATGAATGGATGACCTTGATGATTAATGTTCAATATAGCATGACCATATTCTCTATGGTCACAAGGTTCCACCGAACCTCCAAAATTCCACGCAAGTTCCTAAATTTAAGAATTGATGAGGTAAATACAGAAAGAAATTCTGTCAACCTATTGATAGAGTCAAAGTTCCCGACATTTTACCTGAAGACCGTAGCAAATTCCTAATACAGGTACGCCTAGGTTGAATACTTCGGAATCTACACGTGGAGCATCCTTATCATAAACCGAATAAGGACTTCCGGAAAGGATGACGCCTAACATCAAAAAAATAATAATCATCAAAAATCGATTCACGCACTAAATACAATTTTAAAGAATTGATCTACCTTTGGGATTGAAACGTAATTCTTTGATTTTTTGGGTGCATGGTAGCATTTCACAATATACACCAAATTCTCTGACGCGTCTCGTGATTAAATGCGAGTATTGTGAACCAAAATCGAGAATTAAGATCGTATCATAGAAAGAATGAACCTGTGTAATTTCCTCTTGTTTTGTCATGATTTAAGAGAAACAAATAAAATTAAGCTTGGTATAAGAAAATTTTTAAAATTTTTTTTCGATAATCGCATATTTTATAGTTGTACGAAGATCAACGAAAATCTAGATTAGAAAATTTTTTTTTGTCAATTTAAAATGTTTTAATTTGTACAACTTTCCAAAGGTAACATTGGGGCGTTGGCCTAATGGATAAGGCATCAGACTTCGGATCTGGGGATTGTGGGTTCGAGTCCCATGCGCCTCGTTTTGATTATCATATTTTTTAAATTTTTAATGAAAAAATCATTTAATAAAATTTGATGAATGAAAGTTACCCTCTCCTGATGAAATTTCTCAACATTTTTATAAGTTTTTTTCGCTCATCGTGTCGATCAATGTAATGTGTATTCCGATTCCGTTTTAATTATAAAAATTTAAAATCACATGGTAAAACATACTTTACGAAAATATAAACTTTAAAACATCAATCCGATTAATTGCTAACCTTTAATGGAAATCAGTACAAATTTGATTGGTTTCTAGCGCAAAGTTTATTAAAAATTAATAAATCAGGAAAGGTGATATTGCTAGACGAATGTTTAATGGACGAGAATTTGTAAAATATTATAATCAAAAACAATTACTATGGTATTGATACAAAATTATTAAAAGAAACCCACTTCAAGATCGCTCACATGATCGACGGATATTTAAGTTTTTCAAATTTTTTTTTTTTTACCGTATCAGTTAAAAAATGACGAATCCTTTAATGATTTCATATTACTCGGAAGAAGAATTTTGGGGGTTTTTTTTTTTATGAGTCCAAGTAAATCTGCCTTATTTTAATTCCTCCCACGAAATTTTGCCACGTGAGTTTTCCTAACCTAATATGTCATAAGTATGTCATAAATACATCATCAAAGTAAATTCGGTATATAAAAGTCTCGTCGAAATTTTCGTTTAATTTTTCTTTTCAATTTAGAAATCTAATCTAGAATGAAGTATTTCTTGCCGTTATTCAAACTACCGAAGAGATATTATGATCCATCACTTTTAAAATCACGTAAATGGTCACCATGGAATTTTCCTTCAAGAAAAAGGCGCATTTATGTTGGATTAATTTTTGATTGGGCTCTCATTATTGTCATGTTTCTCTTGACCGATTGGTAATATCCATTTGTATTATTTAAAGAAATCTCCCGCCACCCTTTTTTTTCAAAAAAACTTCTTACAAGGTGATTTTTATCTTAGGTTCTTTAAGACTCCTCAACCGCCTATCGCTTATTTCTCCGTAGAAGATAATTCACTGAAGAAACCAATCGTAAATGAAATTATTTCTTCTTCATTGGCTACGATCATTAACACAGTTTTGCCCGGGTTTATAATGCTTTTATTGGAATTTATCTTCTTTTACGATTTTTGGAACTGTTATCATATGTTAACCGGTCATGTTACAAGTATTGGTGAGAGTGGTTTCTTTGATTTAAAAGCATAACATAAAGTAGCTTTGTTTTGTCGTATCATTTAATCATGTATTTTATTAGTACTTGCGTTATTTTTCACCTCGCTTTCCTGGATTACTATCGGAAGTAAGTATTTATTTTCAAACTTTCTCATTTGAAAAAATTCGATATTGTAAAAATAAATCTTTATATAGGTCATTTGGGACTTCGCCCGACATTCTTAACGAGATGCCAACCAGATATGTCACAAATAAATGCAATGAACGAGACTCAAACTTATTTTACAAGTGAAATTTGTACGAATAAGTTAAGTAAAATTGAATATCAAGGGTAAGGTTTTGATTAGAACTTTTAAATTTTTTTTTTTTTTTATAATAATATAATATACCAAATATCATTGATTAGATTTCCAAGCGGGCATTCAGCTACAGCATACGCAGGCTGGGTATTTTTCGTGTTGTACATCAATGGAAAGTCAAAACCATGGACAGGAGGAGCTCATTTTTGGAAAGTTTTAGTACTTTTATTTCCAATATATTTTGCAACATGGATATCATTGACAAGGGTAATGGATTACAGACATTTTCCATTTCAAATAATAACGGGAGGTTTAATAGGAATTGGCGCGGCACTGATCTCATATAGATTACATTTTGGTAATAATGGTTGGTTTCTTGGAACGGGTGATGGAAGTGATCATATACCTGCTCATTATAAATACTTGGAGGATTGGGACTCTGTCGATAATAGGAACGAAGTTGTAAATATAAATGACAATGAGAGGGATTTAGAAAGAAATTTAAGTGAAGTAAGTAGGGATACTGATGAGGAAGTGCATAATAAGAGGAATGAACTTAATAATCAGATCGAATCAGCATCAACCTGAGTAATTCTAATAAGTTTGGTTTAATGTTTTATTTCGAATCTTTGAAATTCAACCGATTCAATTTCTTCTTCTTTAAAAATGGTTTTGTCAATTCTAGATGAAGGAGATCCTTCATATCGTAACCAATGTTTACTAAATAATTAATTAAAATACAATCAATTAATTTAATCAATTCTTTTAATCATCGTCATAAAGAGTATCTTACTTACAAGCTTTCAATTTTTTCTCTTTCACCTTGTGCAATACCACTTACTGTACCTCTTTCTAAGTAACATGAAAATTAAAAAGAGTTTAACAATTAAAAAAATTTATACATCGTAGCAAACCTGTATTTTTTACATAACCGACAAGGTTTAATTCAATCGCTTTGTCCTTTGTGTATTTCCGAAACCATACTCCTATAATAATTACTTGATCAAAGATTTTTTTATTCTAGAAAACAGGTAAATAATAGTTTTCTCAAATACCTTGTACTCTACCGAATATTTCATAATACACACTAACATATCTAGTCATTGCCAAAATAATTAATATAAAAAGGAAAGAAAAAAATAAGATAATAAAATTAAAGGAAGATTTTTTGTCAAAAAAAAAAAGGCTCTTAAAATCACATGTACGTTTTGATCTCCGCAGCATTAGCGATTGCCTTATAGGGAAGAGCCGACGTATATCAGGTACAGGAGATGTTAGCACTTTTCGAAAAAAGAATGAAAATTGTTGGGAAGATTTCTATTTGTATTACAAGAACAAATTTATCTATAGAAATTCGGCCCGTATGGTCTATATTTAGATATTGATCAACTTGCAAATTTTAAATTCTTTGTGACAGATTTTTAATTGGTGTATTTGAAAGTAACACATTCATGTAAATAAAAAAGTCAAATTTTTCGCGATGGTAACACGTCTTTCACACGGTGTACGAATATTTATCGGACTTTAATTTAATACAGAAGTAAAATAAAAATCATTTGGAAGGACTCTTTTTTAGCATATGTTCCGAAATGTATAATAAAGAACATTGTAATTATTGCATCATGTAGGACATGGCTTTCAACGTAAGAACTTTTTTCCAGTGATTTAATTGAATTTTATAGAGATTTTGGATCGCGTCAAAACATTCTCCCGATTATTGTAGATGCTTTTTCGATATCAATTGGTCGCTTAAACGATTGTGTCCATGAGAGAAAACTTGTGCCCGGTTTTATGGTTTTGAAAAAAAAAAAAAAAAAATTTTTTTCCGAAAAATCCGATGTGCAAATCCTTTAATTTAAAAACACTTTCTGAATTATTTTATTAGAGTTTATTAAAGTTTGGATTTCCGAACCTTGACGTCATCGTACCTTGTGTTTTTATACACTTGATCCTTTGCAACGAATGATGCACATTGTCCTCCGGTTCCGAATAATTGGGAATATCTCGGTTAAACAAAGTCCGTACAATAAATATATACTTTATTGAAATACAACTTACAATACTCGGTACCGAATACAATGAAATTAATTATATCGATATTACATGAAATTATAAATTGTTTATGTAAATGCGTGCATGCATTATATTTTTCCCCTCAAAAAAAAAAAAAAAAAAAAAAATTATCATTGATCATTCCACCATATTTATTTATATATATATTAATCCATTTTCTTTAGTCTTGTTTCTAATCTTCACACCTCCTACTTTATCTTTATTAAACTATTTTTCTATTATAGTTTTCTCCCCTCTCTTTTTTTCTTTTTTTTCTTTTTTCTTATTAGTTCAGCATGTCACAGTCGCTTCCAAAACTTCCATCGATTCAGCGGGTGTTTCTTGAATCAATAGCATCAAGCGACCCAGAAGGACGTTTCATAGAAGTTAATGGAATCCAAACTTTTTATAAATTATCGATTCCACAAAAACACCAACAATTATTGCAACAACAGCAACTTATTCCAAATGAACCAAATAAACCTGTAATTCTCTTATTGCATCATATTCTTGGAAACCAATATACTTGGAGGCTTCTTATGCAACCTTTGGCCGATGCTACAGGATGTCATGTTATAGCTTATGATAGACCAACTTTTGGCTTTACCGAGAGGCCAACTCATTGGGAGGAAGGAAAAAATCCTTATACGCAAGAGGCATCTGTAGAATTTGTACATCAACTCATATCTGCCTTAGGTTATGAGGAAAAAAAGATTTCATTTGTAGGAGTTTCTGCTGGCGGAAGTATAAGTTGTCGCTTTGCTATTAAATATCCAAACCTAGTACATTCTCTATGTTTATTGGCTCCTTCCTTAAAACCTGAAGACCAAGGTAAGATTATATATAATTATAAAATCAAATTTTCCTTTGGGGATTTTTTCCTAAAATGTGTCCCTTTCTTCTTAGGTCCACCGCCAATTGGTCGACACATATTAGGTTCAGCGCCAGGGCGACTTTTCCTAAAAGCCGCACTATATCGATACATACCATTAACAACGCTTTATCATGACTGTAATTCCATTCCTGACTGGGAAACGGTGGTGAAGCCAAATTATCGAATTCCGTTAACTTTACCAAATTTTTATGAATCACTTTCATGGTTGATGAAATATTTTGTACCATTAGAAATTTTACCTTTAAAAAGCTATTTAGCGCGATTACCAATTTTATATTTATCTGGTGATGATGACAAGTACACGCATGTCGATAACCACATAGAAATTTATGAAGAAATTCGTTCGGTTGCTCCTCCAGACGCTAAATTGGAATTTAAGATATTAAATAATTGTGGACATTTACCTCAAGACGAAAGTCCTGAAGAGGTTTTTAATTCCATTGTTGCCTTTTTGAATAGGGTTGGAATTTAAATTTATCATCATCATCATCATCATCTTTATTCGTTTATTTAAAAGAAATGGTTACCTTTCGTTTTCTCGTATCGTTTTCGACAAATTGTTTTTTTTTTTTTGTAAATACTTGTATTACGTAATACTAAGTATCGTGGGATAAAATTGTGCCAAAACAAAAAGAGGAGGTATAATATCATATTTATTTTTTATATTTATATGTATGTATCATGAATTATCGATCAAAGTAATAGTTTTTATTTTATTTTATAATGAATTCTCTTTTATTGATCTAAATTTTTAGAAATAATTTTTTTTATCGATTTAAATAATAAATTTCTCTTTTTATCGATCTAAATAATTTAATTTTGTATTCTTTTAAAAAAAAAAAAAAAAGTATTATATATATTTTAAATTTAAAAGTATGTAACAAAATGTAATTAATCGCACACCGCAATACTTCATTTGCACTTTTTGTCCCAAAACCGTCTCTTATTCAAATCTTCCTTTTTTTTTTTTTTTTTTTTAACTAATGATAATTACTTAATATCTCCTTTATGAAGAAATTATTATAAAATTGATCAAAAAAGAAAAAGGGTAACGTTACGTTTGCAGCCTAAAACTGTGAATATTAATTTTTTCTTGTGTGAATTAGCACAAGATTTAAATAAAGAAAGTAATTCCCGAAATGGGAAAAAGTTGATTTTACTGGAATTTAAGGAGCATAAACAGGTTCATTAATCGAAGCATTCATCTTTAGTAATATCATACAGTCATTCATACAGCCATTCATGCTTCTCTTTTATCCCTCCCCTCTCCCAGTTTAATAATAGAATGCATAAACGGTAATACTTATTGGCGTAGCGGATAATTTGTCCTTCAATTGCGTGCATAACTTTAAAGGGATTGTGAATAACGATACTTCTTTGGAAAGTGTGAAAGAGGACTAAATGCGCTTACTCTTAAATCGCTTTGCATTATTTACAATTCAAGCATATGCACAATAAAGAGAATTGACGTAAAACAATAACCCGGAGTTCCAGACCTTTTTCAATTGAAGAACCGAAAATTTCATGTAACTGCACATTTAAACCTTACGGTTTATATTCTCCCTTTTTTTTTACGTTAAGAAAAGTCGGTTATTTCTACATTCTTTTTTATTTATTTTTTTTTTTTTTAAAAAAAAAAAAACAATAATTTCAAATCCGCCAATAGGACATGGTCTTTCCTACCTTTATTCGCGTGAAATTCTCAACGTTACCTTAACCCCATTTCCAATATATTTATTAATAGTCACACAAGTTAATCTTCTCTCAAAAAGACAACCACCCCAACGATAGAGAAAAGCCAATTAGGTTATCCTGCAAAACTAACAACCTCCCGATACCATTCGCAAAGCATATTTCTAACAAATCTTTTTTAAGTTTGTTAATTTGATCATCTTTGTCATAGAAGTTATGATTGAATGTTGATCAATCATAATATTCCGCGTGAAATAACTTCTTCTCGAGCGGAATGTTATTGGACGTTCATTTTTCCATTTTTTTTTTTTGAGCGTCTTGTCATAATGATGTGTATTTAGATTGTGTGAAGATATTTGAGTTTTGCTACTATTTATATAAATTTTTTAATCCCATTGATTTAGTAATTTACCTTGTCGACTTTTAGTTTAGGTTATCTCGCTACTTTGAAAAAAGTCCATTCCTTTTTGAAATTAGCAAAGAGACTGACTCAAATACCGATTTTACCAGTAGATTTCTTTAAATTATCGATAAAGTAAAAGAAAATGTTTTACAAAAATACAAAAGATGACTCTAACAATCGGTGCAATAAATATGGTCAAACTTACCTTATTTTAGTGTGGTAATGGTTACAATATTTGGATTAACGAACGAATGAAATCATAATGAAGATGCATATCACATTCAAAAAATTCTTTATTATGATCTAAATAAAACTAAACATTGTTCAACTTGCAACTTAACTGTTTGTTGCAATTTCATAGTTATAATACAATAATATTATTATCAGGGATGGATTTGGTCGAAGCCATTAGGGAATGTGATCGACTTGTTCAACTAATTAAGAATTATGATGGGTTTTCATTTCCACATATACTTTGTATGTTCGTTGTGGCCACGGGACTACACATGAACATTATGTGGCTCACAGTTGTGAAATAATTTAAGTTTGCTTATCATTGTTTATGTAATAAATTGTCTTTTATTTGTGATCACACTCTCTCACCGCAAGGGTAAAAATTAGAAGCCCAACGCGTGCGAATCTTTATTATTCTTTACTTTATTTAAAGTCCGACCAACGCATTACAGCCTCCGTTCAATTCAATAATTTTTAACTAGTATTTTCAAAATAATATCATATAACCTTTTAGTTGATCACCTATTTATGATTTTTAATGTGTAACAAATTGTGGTTGTTTGTGGTTGATGGCGTAACAATACTCACGTAATTATGTTAAACGTATGATTTTTGTATATAAATGGAAAGAATTTCCTTTTTTCTTTTAGGTTAAAAAAAAACTATTTTTCTCTTTTACAAAATAAAATGTATATAAATTCACTTGAAACACGTTATAAAGAACATGAACGATCCCCAATCCCATTGGAAGGCGAATCCTACTTTTACCGACATCAACCAGTAAAATTTCGCGTGGAGGTTGAAGGAACTCCCAAAAAACAATACTCAGAAACCGGAAAAATATTCCTTACGGATAAGCGACTCATGTTCATCGCGCAAATACCTTCCTCAATTGATGGTAATTTTGAAACGTTTCATGTGATGTTGGATGACATTAATTCATCCATTATATCTTCTCATCGCATCTTTAAGAGAAATACATTTACTGTAAGGATTACATTGAGAAATGGTGAGGTGTTTATAATGTCACTTGGTTATCAGAGAAAAGATTTGGAGGCGAAAAATATCTTTCGGGATTATTATGGGATGCTATTGGTTCGGAAAGGACAATCTTGTGTCATGTGATAATAATTGCAGTCGGTGCATTTGTGTAATTATGAACCACCTTATATAAAGAAACAATGAAACTAGAATGTATTTATAACTTTGATTTATATTTGAGTGAATTTGAAACGACACATTCTTAAAATCAGAAAAAAAAAGATTTTTATTTATTTTTTTGATCATGGACGTATTTAACGATTTAATTGTTTCGATCACTTTGGACTTGAATTTCTGTTGGACTATTCTGAATAATTGATTGCTCATGTCATCACATTATTTCCTTATGATTTGGTTTATTTTCCAAATCTGTCAAACTGACGACACCTGTTTCATGGTATCCACCCTAAGCAAGGTTAAGAAATTGCACGCGATTACAATTAAAATTGGGATATCTCATCTAAGAAACAGAACGGATATGTACGAAATAAAAACGCGATAAAATCCAACAAACAATTCACAGAATAGGAAAATTACGTTTCTCTTCCTCCGTGAATCTAAACCGGAACATGTTTCCGATCTGCCGATTGCCTAATAGATAGTAATACCATTTAGGGTAATTTACAATCAGTTGATCTGATAGATGGGTAGTTTTGGAATAAGGAAACAATGGGACATAATTTTATCATATAATCTACCATAAACCATCGACATTTTGTTTTTATTTATTTTTTTTTTTTTTCCTGAACGACTTCCTAAAGTTTTAATCATGTTTGGCCACTATTCACATTGCCTCGATTACGGGTTTTTCTATTGCCTAGATGACATCATCATACTTTCTACTTTACTCATCGTATGTTGTTTTATTACATGAAAAAATTCTTTATCGTTTGAAGAAAACTCTTGACGTTATTTCACCTTGTAGATGGTCCTCCAATTATTTGCCATTATTGAAATCATTCAAAGCCATCGTGATTCTTCGGGAAAATTTGGTTGGATTGTTGTGGTTATCTTATTCGGCGTCCTCGGTTTACTCGCCTATGTGTAAGCATTTGATAAAATCATTATTTCACATCTCTAAAAATTTAATCAATTCATGAAAGATTTTCTCTCGTAATTTAGTTTCTTGTCCAACCGACGGGCGCACAGGCGGCTCAATTTTTATCGAAGTATACCCTGATTCTCCGTTTTCAAACGGAAATGTCACGTGTTTAAACCATTAGACATTAACTTGATTAATTTAATGGCGTAAAAACGCCAAATCTCGTGTTCAAATTGTTTCATCATAGTTCAAATCAATAAATAAAAGACTGATTGTTTCAAACTAATTTGTAAAATAAAAAAAATCTTATCTTTTTTTTTGATCAATATAACTTTATCCGAAATGTGAGACAAAGGGTCTCGAAAACAAGATGTATAACCAGAAAGTTGTACTAGACTGTGGTCGGACCAAATGATTTGATAATCTATTATAAAAGATCTCGTATGATATACTATTAACATTACGTCAGCCAATATATTTGAATTATATAAGAATAGGACAAAAAAAGACTTTTACCGGTTAGTGCCGTAAATAAAATTTTCTTCTTTTTTTGAAACGAAACCCTTTTATTTTAAGAAAATTCCAATCATGATTGACACATTACTTAACTACGGTGGGAGCGTTCTAAGTATCATTATAGTACGTGTGTCAGTCAGATAAGAGGAGAGACAAAAACATAAAGATATTGAATTAATGATCATTTTATTCGAAAATTTTTAGCTTATTATCGATCTCTTGGCAATCTTTGAAGTTGTCCAGAGTACCCGCAGCACAGGAGGAAAGGTCATGTGGATCGCTCTTATTTTCTTCTTCCCAATCGTTGGTTTGCTTGGGTATTAGTAAGTATCAGTTTAATAATAATATTATTATTATACTTGTGTAATATATTTGTGAGGTGTTCAAGGGACAAAAAAAAAAAAAAAAAAATTAGAAGGACGCATTGGGTCATGAAAGCGCATACCTCCTTATTACCGTAATTTAACACAACATGATTAAATTTTTTTTTTTTATTTCTTTTTTCACAGCTTCTTTGCCAGGCGTGATGAACATAATCCTCAACGATCGGTATCGTACCAACCGGTTTAAATTTATCCAATTGTTGATAAAAGCAGACTCGAAATTGGATAATTTAATTTTATCCATCTTGCTCCCGTAGCTAACAAAAAAAACAAAAAAAAATTTTATTTTTTTCTATATTCCCCACAAATTTTCTCATTTGATTTACGTATCACTTCGGATAAAAGAATAAAATTTAATAATGCAATCTTTTTTTTTCAATTATATTTGTGTCCTGATGCAACAATAAAGAATATTAATCTCACCCAATTGATTTGCTCGAATAAAGTTCGAACCAACGAATGTTAAGTGTATGCCTAATAAAGGAAAAAAAAAAAATTTAAAAAAATATTTTTTTTTTTTTTTGTCATCCAAATCAAAAAAAAATAAAATAAAATAAAAATAAAAATAAAAGTAAAAAAAAAATGAATGGATTATTATCAAGTAATTGGCGGATATATTGAGATATAATTTAAAATAATTAATTTAAATCAAAATTTTTTTCTTTTTTTCTTGTTCTTTTTTTCTTTTGTTTATTTTTATTTTTATTATTTTATATTATAATAGCAATGACTATGTCAATTGTTTTTCCCTTTTAATACGATGACTTGTGAGTGCCGAAACTTCACACTCTCTTTCTTTTTAAAAAAATGCTACAACGAATAAAAACAATATGAATCAAAGTAAAATTCGTGGAATACATCAGAAACCTATTCGTTTGGTACAACCATTTTTGCGAATATATAAGCGTGTGACGAAACGTGGTTATCAACCGGAATATGGCTCAGCAGAGTGGAGCGTTTACCAAGGAGGAGAACTTTGGCTGGAAGGTTTAAAAGTTTATCATAGGAATTCACATCATAAAGGCAGAAGAATCATCACAACTCAGAGAGATAAAGATGCTTGCACCGAGACACTCACATATTTTTTCAATGCACTCGTGATAAATGAGTCGGGATCGTATATATCGGCCGCAAGGGACCTAATACCCGAATTATTTAAGCAAAAGGATTTCATAATAGAGGTTAGAAACATTGTGAAAATCGTTACAACGCCCGGTTCTTTTCTTGGAGTGTACTCGGAAAAGAAGTTTACCGTGATGTTGGGGTTATTGCGGAATCAATTGCAGCATGAGGATCCCAGTCACCTTGATAAGACGTTGGACGCTTTTCAACACGCGATAATGTCTTCATTTGTTTGGTTAAAATTTGTACCAGATCAAGCGCAAACCGTTCTATTCACAAGATGTATCATTTACATCGCAAGTATGAGAAAATTGTTGGGTTTATACTTGCCAGGTTTTATTGAAGGATTTGCCATTCAAGCATTAAATGGGATTCCGGTGCCATCGGTAACGGAAGATAGGTCCATACCTTGTCTCGTTTCGGAATCCGTGTTGACCTCGGATGCAAGAACGAGAATTTATTCAAAGATCATAACTTCTTCCAAGTGGGCTTTCTTGCTGAGTTTAGAAATGTTATCATTGTATTATTTTAGGTTTGCCCAAACTCTCGTGCAAACCCCAAATGCGAACTCAGAGACGGTTCGTAACATAACACAATGTGCTATAGACATCTTGGAATGTAGCAAGATCCATCCAACATTCCCAATTGACATCCCTCCTGATGATCATGATTCGTTAGGTTCGGATTCACCTGATAGAGTAAAACTTCATTTTCCCCTCCCATTTTACCAACTTTATCATCCAAAGTAAGTGTTCCCAAAGAAAAGAAAATTTTTTATTTTTTCCTCTCCCTCCCATCGGCTAACTTTTTTGGGGGGAATGTATAGATATCAATTTATCCTTGCAACCGTGTTGTTAGATTTAAAAGAATTTAAACAGGCCAAACTAGTGTTTTCACAGATTGGCTTTGAATACGGAGAAATAAATCGACCAATGGCGGCTCGTTCTTTATATAAGGTGGCCACATGTATTGTATTTGGATCTGACAGCGATGCGCACCCCGGTAAATTTGACATTGTCTTATTTCGGGAAGCTGCTACAAAAGCGAATGAATACTACGAAACATTAGAAGAACAAGGGATATGGGTACAAATCGCCGAGGTTGAAAATGTCAAAAAACCGGTAAATAAATTATTCATTTCTTTTCTTCCGATATTCCAATAGGCATTAAATATTAATCGAGGGGGGTTTTTTTTTAATAGGTACAAGATTTACTGAGAGACCTTCCAAAGGTAGGATTATCAAAAACGGCCAGGTTAGAAATGTCACCGATTAATAATGCACGTATAATGACATTGGATCCCGAATATTTGAAAGGAAATGCGGCGGGAAATAGTAACAAATCTAATAATAAATCAACTGCAAACAATTCAAAGAGTAAGGGAGAAGAAAGTGTTACTAATAAATGTGATTATTGTGAACAACCATCTGCTACGATGCAATGTCCTTGTAAAGTTGTAAGATATTGTGATAAGACATGTCAGAAAAATGACTGGAAAGCACACAAAGGAGTTTGTAGTTTGAGAAAGAAATAAAGCAAAGGGAAACTGTAGGAGAATTTTATGTTCTATCTGAATACAACCAATTTTTTTTTTTTTTCTTAAGGTAATTTGTATATTAACGTTAAATATAGAAGAGAAATATTTTTATGTCGTTAGATTTTTATTAATTAATTATGTAATATATGTATATTTAATTAAAAATATTTGACGCGTCTCTTGATTTAAAACAAAATTTTGAGGTCGTCATTTTTTTTTTTTAAAGTAAAATTTCTTTTCATTTGGACGAATTTCGTTTAAATACACAATATTAGATTAAATTATAATTTAGATTAAATTTTTTCTGGCTAAAACAAGAAGACGAGGGTTCTGATTAGGTTTCTGTTTGAAATTCAAGTTGAGTTTCATAGATTCGAAAGTTTTTGAATAAAAAAAAAATTTTCGAAATGATTTCGAATATCGAAACATTTCAAATATGGATTTCATTGTCCTTTATAGATTCAAGTCCTTGGGTTAGTTTTGCGAAGGTGAGGGGTGGGATTTTTTTTTTTTTTTTTCAAAAACTTTGATTCGACGCCTAATTATTATTGTAATACTAGTATCTTTTCCTTCTAACGGTTATAAATGCTAAATGTAACATCATCGCATCAATGGCGGCAAGAATAACTTTACCATCGATATACCTATCTTGTCTTCATGTCCTAAATGAAATTAGGCAAGCCAAGAAGTCACTTTATTTCAAATGCACAACACTTCTAAATAAGGTTTACAATGCGTAGTATTTTAAAGGTTTATAGGTCTGATTACTTGTAATTACTTTTGAAAATCGGATCATATGAATTGTAAGTATTTAAAAGAGGGTTTAACATATTTGATTGGTTGGTTATCTTCAAAGAGTTTTTTTTTAAAAAAAAAAAAATTGCCTTTTTTTCTAATGATGACTTTAATGGCGAACGTCCCCGTATTCTTCTTATTCATTCATCCATTCACCGTAAGATTCTTCTTATCTTACCCGAGTCGCAGATTTTTCATTTCATTTCGATTTGTTCAACCACGTAGGTTATAGAATTATAACCTTTTACATTGCGAACATCCTAATTTATGTTCTAAATAGTTCTTTCATTAAAAGTATAAAAGTATAAAAGTTTGCTTAATATGTTGCACAAGCATTATGAATAGTCAAGATCGTGTCAATGATTGTTTGGTAATGAAAATTTTTTTTAAAAAAAAGAGTTTAAATTACTATTGTTTATTCGTTCAAAAGATAACTAACTTTTGAAATTTTATTTGTACTACTGAAAATACGAGACCAAAGTTAAAAATCAATTGAAACGAAATAATGAATATGTTTTTCAGATAAAGAAGTATTTTATAATACAACATACAATATAAGCAAGGAAAAGAAAAAAATGTCATAATCCTTGATGATATTTAAATAAATTTCTATCGAAATTCTTGACGCGTATCAGACTCAAGAATCGACTCTCTGTTTGATTTAAGAATCAAATGCTCAAATATAGCGGAGGATTGTAACAAAGGATCCTTATCATCATCATTACTTTGATCCCCTTGACTTGCCTGAGCTACCAACATCCCATAATAAGCCTCAAAAATTTTTTTATCTTCCAAATGGTCTTTCTCATAAGAAAATGACATTATAATCTCAATACCACTTCTCAATGTAACGTTCACAGAAAAAGTATCCTTCTTGGAAGGAAATAATATGGATGAAGTGATGTCTTCCAACATTATTTGAAAATTTTCAAAGTCATTAATCGGAGAAGGCTTTCTTGTAATGAATATGATTCGTTTATCCGTAAGAAATATTTCACCAGCCTCTGAGGTTATTATTAGAGGAGTTCCTTCGATTTTCGCGTGAAATTTTACTGGTTGATGGTGGTGAAAGTAGGATTCGCCTTTCAATGGAACTGGAAATTTTCCATTTGCTTGAATTCGCGTCTCAAGTGAATTAATGTACATTTTTACGAGGGGTTAGGAGAAAAATTTAGGTAGTACGGGAAAATATTAAAGTTATTTCTTTCTTTTTTTTAAAAATTCTTTCTTTCTTTGAAGTTAATAATAAAACCATTCCAAATATTTATGATTTATATATTTCATAAGGATCTGATACCTGATATCCATAATGAATTTTCTTATTGTTTCATCCTCATATGAAAGTATGAAAGTTTGCTAGGTTGTATGTTGTAAGACTAGACTAGGTATTAAATTTATCCAAATTGCTACTCCCATGATAAAGGGGTTTAGGATACCGATTCGTACTACTAATATTTATTAATGCTGATTTCATCAAAAAGGAGCGAATATCATCTTCGGATAATTTGGTATCACTTGGAGAAATAGATGCTTTAAATACAAAAATGTAGTTTCATCAAAGAGTTTCGACTTTTTCATATCAAATAAATCCATTTTTTAATGTATTTTTTTGTTTGGTTCAATGATTCAAAGGATTCAAAATATAATTACGGAAAATATCGTAACGTCAATTATAAGAAAGCTAGTTTCATTACATTTTAGTTCAGACACGTTGAGGAGATATCTTTCTTCTTGCGCGGAAGGTAAAAATTATTTGGCGTAGCATATCTCGTGGCTTAGATGGCACAAATATTTTCATTGTCGTGCAACCATTACCCGTATAAAGGAATTTTTTTTCCCTTAATTATTTCTTTTTTTTTTTGGTTTTTTCTTTTTAAATAATTTCTTTTTTTTTAAAAAAAATGGATTTAATCCATCAACTTCCCGATCGTTTGTTATTCGCAATACCAAAAAAAGGACGACTTCATGAACATTGTGTTTCATTGCTCAAGGGGGCCGATATAAACTTTCATCGTTATAATAGATTAGATATCGCATTAGTAAAAAATTTACCTATCGCACTTGTGTTTCTTCCGGCGCCCGACATAGCAAAATTCGTTGGAGATGGAAATGTTGATTTAGGCATAACAGGACAAGATATGGTGGAAGAATGTCAAGTGACCGATAAGGTTGATCAAATCATGGAATTAGGTTTCGGTTGTTGTAAATTACAAGTACAAGTACCTATAAAGAGTGGTATAAATCATGTCGAAGAATTGGTTGGTAAAACAATTGTAACGAGCTTCGATGTATTAGCCGCCAAATATTTTGCTGAACTAGATCAAGAGTATTTAACCGATGAAGAAAAGGCTGATGGAAAAAAAACTAAAATCGAATACGTTAGTGGTAGCGTTGAAGCTGCTTGCGCGCTTGGATTGGCCGATGGTATCAGTAAGTAATTTAAAGTAATTTTATTTTTGCCAACTTCAAATTTATTTATATATATATATTTTTTAATTTTTTTTTTCTTACAAATTGTTTATAGTCGATTTAGTTGGTGAGTTGTAAAATCATTTTTAAAAATGTTTCACAAACCCTTTGCTTAACAAACTTTATTTCTTTAGAAACGGGAGAAACAATGAAAGTGGCGGGGTTAAAAGCCATCTCGACAGTTCTCGAAACACAAGCCATTTTGATTCGAAATAAAAATCCTACCAACCCATCTCTAGTCTCTAAAATAACTTCTCGCATCAAAGGTGTGATAGCAGCAAAGAAGTACGTTTTGCTAAATTATAATATTTCAAGAGATGATCTTAAAGAGGCGACAAAAATTACACCAGGTCGTCAGGCTCCCACGATCAGTCCTTTGGAGAATAGTAATTGGGTTGAGGTACAAAGTATGGTTGGAAAGGATGACGCTGCTGAAGTTATGGATAAATTGGAGGAGATCGGCGCTAAAGATATAATGTTATTGAAAATCGATAATTGTAGAGTTTGAGAAGATGACTTGAACAAAAGGATCCTTTTTATTTAATGCGTTTCCGTTCATCATACTTAAAGTTTACTCTTTGATGATAAATCACCACATTCATCTATGATTTGTAAACCGCGAAGGGTTAGAGGTCTAAATAATCTTGCATATTTTTTAGCTTCGGTAGAGCTAGCTTGATTCCTAGCAATTCTAGCTGCAATACCTTGAGTGATTACAGCCAACTGTGATTTCGCAAATTTAACAAATTCAAAAATTTTATATTAATAAATTTATCGATAACAAAGGGACAAGAAGAGCATCATTTTTTTTTTTTTTTAAAAAAAATGAACTTACCCTAAAAAATGAGAATACGATACTAAATTTATATCTTGGTATGGGATAACTTCTTCCTACTTTCGCACAATAAGTTTTGATCAATTCATCGGCCGAAGGAATAGGTAAATCAGGCTTGTCTAACAACCCTATGAGCAATTCAAAACCATCCTTAACATAGAAACTCATTAATAAATTTGCTAAATCCGATAAAGGATGTCCGATCGTTGATAATTCCCAATCCAAAATTCCAATGACTCTCGGTTCTGTTGGATGAAAGATCAAATTATCTAGCTAAATGAATATAAATAAATCTCTGATGTTAACATCCGTTTATCGATTTCAAATCATAAAATTGAAAGATTTTGATTGTTACCTTAAAATCTCCGTGTATAATGGTGGCCTCGTCATCAACCAAATTCCTTTTAAACCAACTAATCATTTCATCAAGTCTAGGTAACGAGCCGACTTCGTTCCCATTGTCATCTTTAACAGCAGCTTGAGCGGCTGACACTTTAACCAAGGAACGAATTTGACGTGTATAAAATCCTGAAGATTTTCCATAACCTGATAATCCGATTGCTTTATAATCAACCGAATGAAGCTTGGCCAATGTATCAATAACTGCATACCAGCTAAAAAATTTGCAAGTGTCAAGATCCTTTCTTTTGTTTTAATAAGTAAAGGTGGCAAGATCGATATGAATTATAAGATACCATTTATGTCGATCTTCTGGTGAAAGTGATAACAATAGAATATCTTCAAAAATTCTTCCCTCTAAATATTCCATTACCTAGAAAAGGCCAGTCATTCAGATTCTAACATGTATTTGATATATTCCTAATGATTCTAATTTAAAAAAGATTTACTTACGTAGAAAGGGGTACCCAAAATTGAATTATCTTCACACAAGTGATAAACTTTAGGAACTGGAACGTCAGTATTTTTGCCTAATGCATCCAAGACACGAAATTCTCGTTCAACTGCGTGGGCGGTACTTGAGAGTAATGCGCCCGGTGGTTTCTTTCGAAGGACATATCGTGTTTTACTAAATTAACAAGAAAAAAATGTAAATATGTATAATAAACCTTTAAAAAATGGGGGAGTTGCGCAAGAACTTACTTGGCGTCGATTAATAGATATGTCGGATTACTTTGTCCAAATTTAAATTGTCGAACTTCCAACGGAATTTTGAACTTTGAAACCTTTGTTGACAGATATTGTTCAAGTTTCGGAGTATCTATCTGTAATCTAAAAATCAAAATTATTAGAGGGTTTCGATATTCTAAGATGAAATAAAAAAAAATAAAGCTTGTTTTACCGAACAGCAGAAGTTCCTTGAGCATTATCAGACTTTGTCATTTGAATTCGAGAAAAATTAAATAATAAAATGTAAAATATTTTTACATGGATGAACACAAAGATTCTTAATTCTGGCCGAAATTAACATAATGATTGTAGTCACGTGAATCACATGAATCTTAGCATCCTAGTTCATTTACACAATGAAACCTTCATGAGAGATTTTCATGTAACACGACTTCTTGATTCTGATTCTACAATAAAGTGGTTGCCCCTTTTTTTTTATTTTCTCGTTTTTTTTTTTTTTTTTTTCTTTTTTTTTTTTTTTTTTTTTTTTTTTTTTTTTTTTTTTTTTTTCAAAAAATAATCATACTCATCAGAAAAAAAATTATAACATTTCATACATATAATAAAAAATATCTTTTATCTGAAAGCGACCATATATCATCATGCAGATTTGCGAATAATCAATCAGTTGTCGGAATAAACTTTACGATATTCGTTAGGTTGATTTTTTTTTTTTGATAAGGTAAACTATTGTGATTTACTTTAAAGGTGATTATGATTTGCCTTCGAAGCGGTTTTGTCGGGATTACTTCGGCAAGAAAAAATCTATATATAAAAAAACTTTTTTTTATTTTTGGGTTCTTTATATACCAACAATTACCCCTAACCTGAAATGCTTAAAATCATGGTCGGATTTAGGGAATTCATGATTACCGTGATTCATGGTATCGTACGTTAAAAATTAATAATTAAAATTAAATTAAAATTCGCGTTTTTGTCTTCTTAAAATTGTTTAATATTTATATAAATGATTTCTGAATTGAACACAATATGATCAAAATAGGATTTTTAAATATCAGTTGGATGCACGACGTTAATCTATTTAGTCCGTGTAACCGACTACGATAGATATTGAACCGAGGATATTTTTACACTTTGTGTTAATATTTTTGACGGAGATTGAGAATGTTAAATTTAATAAATTTGCCATGTATAGAAATGGGTAATAAAAGGTGTCAAATAATAAACCAAGAATAGACACATTTAAGGGAAACTTATTCTTCCAAAATCATGATGACCTAAGCTATTTTAATATAAACGATGCATGTACTCTTCTTATAAATAGAATGCAAAAAAAAGCCTTTGTAATATGTTTGAAGAAATAAACAATGCAAAAAAAAAAGAATATAAAACTACTCTATTAAAAAAACGGAACAATTTTTCTTTCAAAAATTTTAAATTTTTATTTTCAAATTTTTATTAAAAAAAAAATTTTTTTTTTGAATTTTTAAATTTTTTTTTTTTTTT